GTGGCTTGCTTAAATTAATTTTATGATACTATTTGATTCAAAAATTAAAAGACAATTGAAAATCTTTTAAAACCTGTATATTTATAACTATCTCTTATTAAAACCTTTTGACAGCACCAAAGCTTTGCCAGAAACAGCAAAGAATAATTTTTCAAGTCAAAGGAAAAAAGTTAAATGTATAAACTATGAAAAAAAAAAAGAAAATTCTCTTTAAAGCTTTCACTTTTTCTATTTGAGATAAAACCTGAAAGAAAAAGCACATTTGATCATGTGACCATCTAGAGATAGGTTACAAAATAAAATGCTCCCTATAATTTTCAAAGAATATTCTTTAAAATCCTTTCATCATCCAAAATCCTGAGCCTGTTTTTGTTTCACTGTTGGTTTAAAAAAAAATGTGTCCTTTTGAAAAATTAATTTGAGAATTTTAAATTATCATTATGTGTTTGCAATTGTAAATATAAGAAAAGAATTTATTTCATACAGCCAAACACAAATTTACTGTCTAAAGCTTTTGATAAACATCTCTATCAATTGAACACAATGTAAAACAAAAGCATCAACATGAAAACTTGAGACATGTTCTTAAATGGCCTCATCAGATCAAGACTTCCATATAAATGTGATGCATGGCACCAAACCCATTCAGAAATATCTAAACTGTCAGTTTTTATACAACTGCTTCCTAAGATCAAGGATTAAAAAAGCCTTTAATCAAGTGAAGCCTGAGGGTTTTGGCAAAGATCGTCCTTTTTTGAACATTGTGGACTGGTGCTGCAGAATCACAAACAAAGAACTGTACCAAATAATTAAAGGATCACTTGAAGACTAGCAACAGCTAAAATGGATAGCACATGTAACTTGAAGAGAAAATAATGGCATAATCAAGATATTGACATTCCACACTACCTCAAATAAAAGGTTAGAAAGGAAAACCCCCATTGAAAGAGCGATAACAGCTACTGGACTACCAACAGCAGCAACAACTAAAATGGATAGCACATGTAACTCAAAGAGAAAATAATGGCATAAGATGTTGACATTCCACACTACTTCAAATAAAAGGTGAAGAACAAACCCCTATCAATACTGGAAAGAGTTGACTTGAAAAACCTATTTTTCTGAAGAATTGTTTTAAGAGTAAGATTTTATAAACTTCAATCAAAATCAGTACTGTCTGCTCAATCAATAAATGCCAAATGTTTCCTTATAAGAAAATGGCTAATACAACTATTACCATCATATACAATCCTGTCAAAAACTACAAACTGCTAACAAAATCCAGAAAATAAAGAAAAGGTTCATTTGTCAAAACAATATGGATACTTTATATTCATTTTTGGTGATTATAATTGATTACATTATAAATGCCTAAAATTGTAAATTAAGACACAATAACTCATTACTTTTACTAATTTATTTTCTTTGAACTTGATTTCTATAATGAGATTTAAATCAAGTGCTGTCCTTCAACATTTGAAATAGATCCAGAATGCTGAACAGTTTTTATTCTTAACATGAGAAATGAAAAAAGAGGAAACATTGAAAATAATGTTTGTCGAAATAAATCCTTCAGTGATAAAGCAACTTGAAGTAAGAAAACTTCAATATTTTTATTAGATTATCAACTAGGAAAAGGTATTGAAAAATCACATGAATTTGTAATGCATTTAAAGATCAAAGTAGATCAATATCCTTTATTTTAGGACATTGCATCAAAAACATGCCAAAAAACGCTACACAATTGCAGTCATGTTTCGATGCAAATCAACGCATCTCATCAGGCGATTGTAAATGACAATTTATTATCATCTGCAATTGTGTAGCATTTTTTGACATATTTTTGATGTAATATCCTAAAATAAAGAATAATGATCTACTTTGTATTGAGCCCTCTTTTAAATTAAATGTTATGAACATTGGAATTGTACTCTATTCATTCTCATCTTATCTGTATATATATATATATATATATATATATATATATAATTTTCCCCCATACCTAAAAACAAAATGAATTTGAGAATAAGATTAAAAATAAAAATTCTGTAATAGTTTTAAATTATCAATATTTGTACAAAAGTAAATTAAAAAAAATCATTTGGAGGTATAAGAACTGGAAAAAATGGTACCCAGTTGATTTAACTTAATGATGCAAAAATTTACAAAAATTTTTTTAAGTTTTTTTTTTTTTAAATTTAGTTTCCTTAAAAGCCACAAAATAATTTCAAAAACATCTAGTTGGGTGGTGATAATCTATACACATCAGCTAACTCTGTGGTAAATTTAGAATATTTTAGACTTTTTAAATTTTCATAACATTCACTATATTAGTTTATATGAGTAGTCTAGGCCCCAAATTCTCATTTCAAGTCACAGCTTTGCATCCCACAAGCAATATTTTTCCATTTGATTTGTTATTCAATGGGTTTTCAGATGAACAGAGATTGAAGAAAAAAAATAAAACAATCAAATTGCTTTTCAAAGACTACCGATACAGTCTATTTGGTCCCACATCAGATACACGGTAACAATTTCTTTTCAAAAAGCTAATCAAAAAAAGTAACTTTTTGTAATCATACCCAGAGATAAAAAAAAATAATGATTATAAAAAAAACATTTTGTCAAGAACCTTGTTTCTTGGTAAATACCAATAGACAAGAATCTGTATTTAATAAAGATAAAAATATGTTGGCTTTATGAGTTCCTCAAAGATATCACATGAAAGGAAGAAAATCTTTCAAATCATTTTTATTGGGAAACATTTCAGGCTTTTATCTTCTTATTTTTGTGTTTCATCTAATCATCATTTTCGAATTTTAGATTCTAGTTTTTATGAAACTGATAACATATTTTAATTGACTATTGCTCAATTAAAGTATGCTATCAGTATTTCCCAAAAATATTTATAAAAGTTTGTATCTTTTTAACATACCATATTTGCCTTCACATAACATGCACCCTCACAAAAGATATTTTACAGGGATATTTTGTGTAAATAAATTTTAGTATGTTTCATCATATATTTACTGAAATATATTCAAGTCATTTTGCAGAGGGAAAATATATGATTTTATGCATGCAAATACAATATTACTAGTGACAATGTTTATGTCTACCAGATTCAGGCTTATCCAAAAACCAAGCTGACTGTTACAGCACTTGGTCATCTCTCATCCATAATACTATTAGATGCAGGGCAGTTTTTTGGTACATTTAAAAATAAAAAAAACACATCTTATTCAAAGGTAAAGATGGTACCTACTTTAGCTGTTAAAGCATTCTTAAAAGACTCTAGTATTTTCAGGTAATACAGTTTTCTTTGAGAAAAAAAAAATTCAAATCAAGTATTTTGTTTATCTAAAATTAAAATCAGTATTTTGTTTATCTATAAAATTCTCTAAAGACTTTGTTCCTTACAATTTTGAAACAATTTAACATTTGCACCAAATTGGAAAATGGAACGTCATTATGATATGCAAGAATTTAACATTCCTCATAACCAATTCCACACCTCTTCCCTCTTCATTGTCAAAATATCAAAATTCTGTTTTTCAGTCAGAAATGAAAAATTTTTATTATTCAAAATCATTAATCCCTGATTAGAAGAGAACTGAGAATTCTAAATATTGAAAAAAAGAAGTAAATAAATATAAAAGCAAAGTTGCTTTTTATTTCTTCCTCCTACCACATCAGGAAAGTAGTTTTTTGTGCACAGAATCATGAAATACTTTCTCTCGGGATTGTATTGATACCATTTGATATAGATTGAAAGGCTGTTATTCAAGATGGCTGCTGCTGTGACCTTGGTTCTGGTACATAGTGCAAAGAATCTAGCAGTTTTCAATGACAAGGAAAAAGGTGTGTGTGATTTTGTAGGTAGCTGATAATTAAATCAGCCTTTAAATATTTAAATGTCTTTTTTAAAAATTTTCTTATACTAAATAAACATGATTCTGTCATTGAATAATAAAATATTTCTAATAGTAATAATTATAATTTTTATATCCTCTTTAACTCTTAGCTTCCTGTACCACAAAAAACTACACTTGGCTCTCAGTATTTTTACCACATAAAATTTCACAGAATTAATATTTCTAGTTTGATGACTTTCAATTAAAATACAAGGGAATTGGTTACATACTTTATACAGCCACCAAATTTCTACCATCTTTCGCAAAATTCTTGTGGACATGAGTAAAAACGAGTCAAAGAGATTTTGTACAAGAAGTTAAAAAATTAATGACAGATTTGAAATAATAAGATTCAAGGTAAAACATTAAAAAATCTTGAATTAATGGCACCATTTTTATGGCAAAGTGAAGAAAAGTGAAATAGTCATGTGCAGTTGGGATGCATAGTAGCAAGTTGGGAAATGGTGCACTAAAATAAATACTGCTGTTAGTCAAATAAATTGCTGCTACTTTTAATTGAAAAGATTTTTGTCTTTTCTTTAAACATTAAATATAATTTTTATTAGTGTTTAGAATTTTAGAAATGTCTTCAATTATGTTGAAGCCTGTAGAACATTATCTAAGATTGTTTTCTCAAAATGACAAAAGTAGGAAATAAACAGATAAACTTGTTAAGAGGATTTTAATAGAAAAATGGTGTTTCTCAGAAATATTAAACAAAACATTAGTTTGATTCAAAGTGGATTAGATCTTTATGCAAATTGAGAAGTAAAATGGTTTTGAAAGAAATCTGATCTACAGAACAAGCCCAAAAAGAAATTTTGACATTTCAATATTTTAAAAAATAAAACTCAAATATTTCCAAAAAGGGAAAAAAATATTCACAGGGATATTTGAAAATAAAAATTAAATAAACTGATGTAAAGAATCATTTTTGGTTTTCATAAGAATTAATTTTGGATGTCCAATAGAAAATATGTTTTCAAAAGTAAATGTCAAATTTTTAAAGAATTCAATTAATTTAAAAAAGAAAAGAAAAAAGGGAGAGCATTCCCTGTCATTCCTTCTCGTTCTATTTATCCTTACTGTTTAAATATTTTTCATAATTTTGGCAAGAAGTTTTCATTTGATCCAAGAATGCTGGAACTGCTGTCTGAAAATAAAAGAAAAATACTAACATATATGGAACACAAATCAAAAATAAGAAATAGTATACGTAATTCTGCTTGTTACATAGTTAACATGAACCTTACACCTTACCAATAGCTCATAAATAATAGACTATTCCATTTTGATTGAGAGGAAAGATAGAAAAGACATATCAGAGAAGCTGTTTGGTTTCAATGAGAAAAAGAAAGGAGACGATAATGTTTTAATGTCTTCAGTGAAAATGGAAAAACTTGTCAATTATGAATCTTCTTATTTGTACCCTCTTACTTCATTAAATAATGACCTGCATTCATACATATGATTGTTATTGCAATATTTAAAATTATTAAGATCAAATATTTAACAATGTGAAAGGGGAATTTCCAGGAGTGATTTATAGTCATTGAACTTAAATATTAAGATACATCCAAAAATTCAAATAGGAAAACTGTGAAATTCTCATGCATGCTACTAGTAAATAATAATACTAATAAATTACTAATCTCTGAACAATGAACAGTTGAACAAATATAAAATATTGATCTTTAATTGATGGCAAAAAAAGCAAAATAATGTTTACTCTGTTTTAAGTCTATATTATTAAAAAATTCTTATACTTAGTGGGGTGTCAGGGATATGTCGTCTAAGTAGGCAAGGAAGGAAGTGCCTACTTTGAATAAAATAGATCAGCAACTTTATTTTCCTTCTGTGGCACAATATGCACTTAATCCAACAAAATTATGAAGGTTACCCTGATTATTATATATAAAATGCAAAATATTTTATATTTTTATGGATTTACTACATAAAGGTCACAAGCTGCCTACCCTGAGTAACTACTAATTGCATGTGGAGAGAGAGAGAGATATGTGTTGATAAATAGTTCTTGGATGCTAATGTTTGGTCATTTGGCTAGATTTTGCAAGGACTTTACATTTTCATCCACTTGTAAATATAAATTATATGTGCACATTGATTCTCACATTATATATACACTAGCAACATGGCCCGGCGTTGTCCGTGCTTGATTAAAAAATCGTACGACTCATACAGCAATCGCTATCAGTTGACTTAAAATATTTTTGCCCTTCCTTGCCTTTAAAGGAGTGCCCTTTGCTGTGCTGATGTTGCTACATGCCTTATTTCTTGCCTATCTCACACTGCAAATTTTTTCTAAGCTCTATACTAAACATTAAATCTGTTACGAAAAAAGAACTAAACAAAATGAACACAAAACGATAAGCTTTAAAAAAGGACTCGTAACTGGAAAAACCAAATGAAAAAAGAATGTTAACAACAAATACTTTTTCACACCCAACCCAGTTCTGCGGAATCAGAATCAACGTTGAGTTTAAGCAAGCGAATAAGCCAATTGGAGTAAAGCGCCATGCAGATTTAAATTTTTCCCACTTGTGACGAATGCAGCTATCGATTTTTTTAGCATGCTAGTTAACATTCGTGTCAGTCAGCTGTTGGCTCTCACGCTGGCCAATAGAATCTTCCTACCTATTCGTGGCAGCCAGCTATTGGCTCTCACTCTGGCCAGTACAAAATGGCCGCAAACTACATGAAAACTGCCGTAGAAGCATGAAAAAAATCAATTATTTCCACTATCGATGGTAGTCTTGGCCTTCCCACTAACTTGGAGAATGTGCATGTAAATTTTGGTGCAAATCTGTCGAAAATTGCAGCCGTGCATTCGTTACAGACACACACACACACACACATCCTGCCTTTTATAGATAGAGATTGGGGAAACTTGCTGAAATGAAAAAATATATCTATGAACACAAAAGGGATATTACATACAATAATTTATCAAATACATTAATTATACATAGAAACAATTTCAACCACAACTTTGAATGTCACACTTACCGAAAGAGAAATTAACCTACTTAAAAGGAAAAGTGCCATTATCAAATCTTATCAAAATATATGCACCCTAGATTTTTTCCAATATCCCCATTCTTGAAAGAGTTACGACTTTCCCAAAATATGTGACTACAAAAATGTTAAAATTTAAAAGAAAATGGTTAAACCCATGACCTCATTTTATTCAAAATAGATAATAACTTAAATTAATCCCAAACTAAATTAATTCAAATACCAATTTGAACAAAATTTCTCAAAAAAAACCTTTTCCAAAACATCACTCACTTTCATGTATTAGATATTGAATTGTATCACTTCGCATTCCCCATAGATTGCATGATATTTTCAACTGACCTGTGGAATATTTACAAACATTTCTAACTCAAGAATTTTGGAAAACATTTTTGGTCTTGTATATATAAATACTTGTTACAAAATAAATTTGTACAGAGGATGAAACGCATCGACTAAGATAAGTTTTCCTTTTGTCTTTATTATTCATATATATATATATATATATATATATATATATATATATATATATATATATATATATATTTTA